GGGGGGGGGGGGAGAGTGCATGAAAGAGCAGGGGCCGTAGCTGAGGATGCTGTCAGCTGTGGACAAAGTAGAATGAGGCTTTGTTTTCACCCTGGCTGTGCGCTGGGGATGGAAACACCATCCCCTGAGCTTCAAACACTGCCCCCCTCCATCCCCTGTACACATATGGAAATTGCAGCCAGACCTTGGGGATCCATGTCCGCAAGCCCCGAGATAGGCACATTCAATAGGAAAAGACTCCTATCATATATCCACTCAGCAGTGCATAAGTGCTTCCTCAATGTTGCCTTTGTAGAGCGAGGAAAGTGGGCACAGTAAGGACACATTTTCTGGCTTCAGTACACGTGTGATCTAGCTGCTGTCACTTTTCCCCTGACCCGTCATGTCATCGCCCTGTCAACACATTTATTGAACAACTACTTTGTGGGAGGTGCCTCATTTCTTCCCCTTCCTGCCAGGACAGGGCCAGCGCCAGCTGTTTCTTATCTTCTGCCCCAGGGTAAGCTCACCTGAACCCCCTTTTAATCACTGGATGGATGACTCTGTGGCTTGGACCTGGAATATACTTCTGGAGGTGATTCCTTCAAATGATCCACTTGGAGATATTGCCATAGCCCCTTTTGTTCTAATAAATGGCTTCTGTGTCATCCAAAGAATGTATGTCATTAAATAGCTAATTCAGAGAATACACACATACTTGTATCTAAAAACTTGACAAATTGATTCCTCTGAATAACCAGGTTATTTGTTGACCATTAACTCTATGCGCCTCTGCACTGTGCACATTCTTACAACACGCATAAAAGATAGAATATAGATTTGTACAGGTGTGGAAATCACTTGCACAGTCGGTCAACGGTGGACACTAGAATTGAACATGGGTTTCATCGGACTCCTAAGTTAATATTTTTCTTGCCATACCCCGCCATTCTCGCTCTGCTTTTAGAAGTGTGAAGCCCCTCTCACCTAAAAAACAATCTGGTGGGTTCTTCATTAATTCAAATCATCAACTTTCCTCCCCAAACCAAAGCTGATCTCTCCGGCTACGAGAGAACTGACGCCTCGCAGCAGTTGCTCTCCGCCGAGCCGCCCACAGCC